GAGAGGGAGAACCAGTGTGGACGAGGCAATAAAGATGGTTTGTCGTCTCCCACTTCTAGGTCAGGTGGTTTGAAGACTATGGGGAAAAAATACAGCTCTTGAGCTTCATCCTCAGAGAGTCAGGCATCGTTTAGAATAAAGAGGTGATGGGAGTGTTCAGAAAAGAAGTTAAGAATGGAGAGGATTTTGCTGTCTGGTAATAAATTTTAAGTACCTTGAGGTTAGGGGCTGAGTTATATCCATTTTTGTATTCCTTTCAGTGCAGTGTCTGTGCATAATAAGTTTTTGATAAATGCTTGTGTTCAGTAAAATGAATATTGAATGAATAAATGGAAAATAATTAAGACCCTAAAGGAGAGAATAATATTTATTGGGCATTTACTAAGTACTTGCTATTACCATGAATTCATTTAAGTTGTAAAATAAAATTGAAAGTCTTCTAGTATATTTCTTTTAATATGTTATTGTCAGTTGTCACCAAGTCGGCTGTGACTTATGGTGACCCTGAGTGTAACAGAACAAAATGTTGTCCAGTGCTGTATTGTCTCCATGTAGTCCAGTGACCATGTTTGAGTCCACTGTTACTGCCATTCTGTCAGCCCATCTCGTTAAGATTGCCCTTCCTTTCACTGGCCTTCCACTTTATCAACCAGTCCCTTCTAATGTTGTGTCCAAAATTAGTTGCAGTCTCAAACAATATTCTGTGCTCCATACAGTTTTCATTGGCTAGTTAAAAAAATTTTTTTTATTGTAAACTGTGTGATAGTTTACATGGGAGAACATTGGCTTTTCACCATTGTTTCATTTTAATGATTACAATCTCCTCCATGCATCATCATTCAACAGTATTTGCTTCCATTCCCTGTTTTGTTTTTGTTTTTCGGTGAGGGGGATGTACACAAAAACACTCAGGAATATATAATAATTTAAACAACCAAAGGGCACATTCTACAAGCCTGCCTCCTGACCACCAGCACCCGGTCCCTCTGTTTCTATGAATCTAGAGTCTTCAACTGCTCTGTCTCTCAATGTCCTCATCTTTGTCTTCATCTGTGATATCACTGCTTCTTTGGATAGAGTCCCGCATTCCGCTTGTGCTCTTCTCCCTTAATGGTCCCAGGGTCCTCTTGTTTCTGGACTGTAAGACTAACTATTGCCTCGTTTTTATTATAAAACTTCTACTTTTATAATTGTGATAGTCGCAATTAGTCATGATAACAATTACTACTGAATCATAAGAATCTTATCCTCATCTCTTTTAACCAGACCCATCTAGACAACATGAAACCTTTTTAGTGGGGACTCTACCTACCTTCTGCTGCACACTCTTAAACTAAACTCCCTCTTGAAACCTTCTAAGTCAGTCACTTCATGCCCTCATTTTAGGTAGCCAATGTTTAAGTTGCCCGTCCCTATCTATCCTGTATACAAATTGGCATTGATACTTGATGTTTTGAGTTACTACATCCATCATAAGCATAGGTCAAGTGCATCAAATTATAGCAGTTTACAATCATTTCCTTTATCAAATTTTTTTTTTTATCTTCTTCTAGTCGAGTTCTGATTATCAAGCCATCGAGGTTAGGTCATATGGGTACTAGCTGCAAGTTTGGGTGTTCTTTTGCATCTCCCCTCACTTCATATCAGCTGGATGCTTCACTCTCAGCTGTAGCCCTCTGTGGCTATGTCCTTGTCCATGGGCTCAGGAGTCTCCAGGTCTCACCTCACTTCAGGCCAGCCAGCCTTTCCTCTTCTCTGTCTCATCTCCAGGTCAACTGGAGTCTATGGAATGCAGTTGAACGTAGCCCATTGCTGAAATTCATTGCTGCCTTTCCCCATCTTCCACTCACTAGTAGACCAATGTGGTCGTCCGCAAGTTTACCTACGGGCTCTCGTAGCATAGTGGTTACAAATCGGGCTGTGAACCACAAGGTCAGCAGTTTGAAATTACCAGCTGTTCCATGGGAGAAAGAGGAGGTGTTCTGCTCCCGTAAAGATTTACGGCCTCGGAAACCCTGTACAGGGTCACTATGAGTCGGAACTGACTCCACGGCACATAACAACAACAACATGTGCTCTTGTAGTAGCCAGGCATATTGCCATTTTTGTTTTGGGTTTTTCCTGCTGATCTTTCTTTGAAGATGTATCTTCTGTTGCTCTAGTTGTTCCAGGCTTATCCTTTCTAGTGGGAATGTCCCACCTCAGAAGGTTCTGGACGGGGATCAGGATTCCACCTAAGGTCCTATACTCTGCAAAGGCTCTGCAAGAGACCTATTTCACTGGGCAAGTTCTATAACCCCTTTTAGGTCTTCCAATCAGTTATAGGCTGAAGACGGGCTTACAAGCTTTCTGTAATCATGTTTCCAGACATTTATTTCAATCCCACTCAAGTATCTATTTCACAATAGTAGGCAAGGGAAACCAATATTCATGACAGTCAAGCATCTTAGTATTATTTCTCCTCTTCAGACTATTATGCTTCGATCCCTGTATCACAAAGCTCTGTTGTTCTTCCAAGGTTGAGGTTCCATCACTATTTACCTCTGTACCATTTAGCCCACGCAAACCGGTTTCAGTGTTCCCCTTTGTACCTTGTTCTTCCAACTTTTACCCCTTCTTATGTATTTCCCTCCCCAACACCCAAACTATTTGTTTTGACAGCATACCCTATGTTCTACCGACCCCTCCCTCCGCCCTCCCCAGTCCCCCCCACTTCCCACCAATAACCAACACAACAAAATTTTTTTTCCCCCTTTTAGTGTGGATGTTTTTTCTTAAGCTTTCACAGTAATGGTCTTATGCAATATTTGTCCTTTTGTGACTGACTAATTTCACTCAGCATAATGTCCTCAAGGTTCATCCAGGTTATGTGGTGGTTGTAGCACCCTTGTTATTCTTCAAGGTAGTGTAATAGTCCATTGTGTGTATGTACCAAAGTTTGTTTATCCATTCTTCCATTTATAGGCACTTAGGTCATTAGGTTATTTTTGAAAGTAGATGCCCAAGCTCTTCTTCCTAGTTTTTGTTAGTCCTGAAGCTGTTTTAAATCTGTGCACCCTGGATCACCCTGCTGATATTTGAAATTCCAGTGCCATGGCTTCTAGCAAGAGGCAAGCCACCACAGTACTGCTAACTGTCAGAGGAGTGGGGACCTGTAGTATAGCAGTTTACAATGGGTTTATAATCTCATTATGTAATCCCAGACCTTAGATCTCATTTGCTAGTTGGCCTGCGTAAAAGTTATCCATCTAAGAAGGGAGGAGGATGTGCAAACATGTATAGAGCATTTATTAAAATAAGGAGATAAAAATTAATAATCCAATAACCACCATCAGAAAAAACATAGTTGCTGATTTGTATGTGGCCCCATGGTTAGGCTATTTGATATTTTTCATTGCAGTTTTGTGGCCTTTATAGTTCATAAGTACAAGGGACTTAAAATTTTTTATGGAAAAACTCCATTATTTCTCAAGTTCATTTTTCTTCAAACTTTTTGAAGCCCTCTCATCTATTCACGGAGTCTTTGTGTGGTGCTATAGGATAAGCATTGAATTGCTAACCGCTTGGTCAATGGTTCAAACTTACCAGCTGCTCCTTGGAAACCCTATACAGTGTTGCTATGAGTCAGAACTGACTCCACAGCACTTAAAAACAACAACATCTCTTCATATTGTTGTTGTTTTTGGGCGCCTTTGAGTCTTTTCCGACCCATAGCGACCTTATATAGGGTGTGGCTGATCTTTCTGTATTGTGTGAACTTTCTTTTGTATTTCACACAGTGCTTTCACACTGAAATTTTTACTAGGCTGTGAGTGCAGAGGCATTGTTCTTATGCACATTTGTATCTCTGGCATCTGATAGTATGGACTAGATGGCACTTAACAACAATAAGTGATTGAAGGAGACCTCTGGCACAACGGTTAAGTGCTTATCTGTTAGTGGAAAGTTTGGTGGTTTGAAGTCATCCAGCGACTCCCAGTCTGCTTCAGCAAAGACTGTTGTTAAGTGCCATTGTGTCAGTTCCGACTTACTGCCACCTATTGGGACAATTCTGGTTTGTCACCTGGGGTCCCTCTGAGTTAGACTCAACAGTGTCTAAGAAAACCCTTAAATGAATCACTCACTTGCTCAAGGCCACATAGTAAGTGACAGAGCTGGACTTAGGACCTAGGTCTTCTGGCTGCCCCTAGTCCTCCCCTTGAGCACAGACACAATTGAATCCAGAAGGTAATGGACCATGGGTGGAGGTAAGGAGCTCACAGGGCTTGGAGCCCTGACACTAAGCCGCTCCTTGATAGAGGCAGTGGTTCCATCCGTTACTGTACTCGTGTTCTTTTCCTGTAGCTTCTTCCTACCCAGTTTTCCCCTCTTTTCTCTTATTCTTCCATTATCAGCTTGCATTCCTTGTGTATTCTTCTTTGCCTCTGTTGTGGCTACCAGTGGCATGAGGATCCATCTTAGCTGCATAATTTGTAAACTTGTTAAGTGCCATGGAGTCGGGTGTTACTGCATTGAGCCTGTATTGGGTTTCCAAGGTTGGATATGTTTATGGAAGCAGACAGCTTTATTTTTCTCCCACAATTTGTAAACTAGATGATAAAAAAGAAAAGTTTGAAAACAAGTTATCTCTGGAATTAATTTCATATTCAAGTAGGATAAATATCTGAAATGTTTGTTTTGTCTTAATGTTCAGATCTGTTTATTTGATCCTTTCCTGAAGCTACTTATTTGTATGATTGGAAAATCTTCAGTTAATGGCATGCTAGAAGCAGTTTTCCAGCTATTCTGAGGAGTTTCTACCTTTTTTGTGTCTATTCTCATTTCGTTTGGGCTGATGGTTATTAAAAATGAATTAGTAGTCCATAAGGAGAACTTGCTGGCTTTATTTCTTTATTTTTTAAGCTAAACTCAGAAATCATATACATAAAGTGTGTCATATTTCAAGTAGGAGTTCCAATTGTATTCTTTAATACTAAACTATTTTTTCTTTAATATTTTAGACCAGTCTGCTTAGTTTTAAATGAAATTCCTTTTATATCGACTTGGTTTTTACTCGTGTCAACATTTAGGTGAGTCAAATCAATTTCCATATAATATTTTTAGTAGAGTTCTTACAAAGTGATTTTGTTTTGAGTTGACAATTCTCTTTTGATGTTCTTTCTGTTTTCACTTACAGTATGCTGCCTCTTTTATTGAAGGATGAACTCCTCATGCCTTCGCTTGTGACAATGATGGCATTTTTTATAGCGTCTGCTACTTCCTTTTCAACGTTTGAAAAGATTTCTGAAGAAGAACTGCAGTTGAAATCATTTTCCATTTCTGTTAGAAAATATCTTCCATGTTTTACATTTCTTCCCAGAATTATCCAAAATTTGGTAAGTTGCTCAGTGTTTTAAGGGATGATACATTTGAGTGATAGTGTTAGCAAAGGATACTGAGTAAATGAGTAGACCATGGATGGCCAGAAGAATGAACAAATCTATCTTGAAAGAAGTGCAGCCAGAAGCATCCTTAGAAGTGAGGATGGGGAGACTTTGTCTCACACACTTTGACACATTATCAGGAAGGACCAGTCCCTGGAGAAGGACATCATGCTTGGTAATGCAGAGGGTTAGTGAAAAAGAGGAAGGCCCTCAGTGAAATGGACCGATACAGTGTCTGTACCATGGGCTCAGACATAGCAGAGAGTGTGAGGATGGTGTAGGACCCAGCTGTGCTCTGCTCTGTTGTAAAAGGGTCACTTATGAGTCACAGTCAACTCAATGGCACCTAACAACAGTCATTTTTAAAATTATTGAAATACCTTTTCTTATAGATTTTTTTTTGAGGTATAATTCATATAAAATTAATTCATAAGGTTCACTCATTTAGTTTACTTTTGAGTGACTTTTAGTATGTAAACACAGTTGTACAACCATTATCTTAGTCTAATTTTAGGATATTTTCAACACTCCAAAAAGAAATAGTGTACCCATTAGCAGTCACTTCCAATACCTAGCCTTACTCCTAACCCCAGCTCTGGATAGTCACTAATCTGTTATCTTTCTCTATAGACGTGCATATTCTGTACATTTCAGATAAACAGAAGCATATTATCTGTGGTGCATGTGAGCGTCGTAGAATAATGTCAGTGTGTATCCATGCTGCCTGCTCCCACTCTGTTTTCACGATCACTGCTGTGTTTGAATCCATTGTCATGACCATGTCGCAGTCCAGTTCACTGAAGATTTGCCGTGTTTTTGTTGGCCCTTAACTTTACCCAAATGACGTGTTTTCTAGTGATTAGTGTTTCCTGATGATAAGCAAATCTAAGTCTCACCTTCCTTGCTTCTAACGTACTTTCTGGTTGTATATCTTGTAAGACTGATTTGTTTGTTTGGACAGTCTATGGGATGTTTAATATTCTTCATCAGCATCACAGCCTGAATTCTTCTGTCTTCCTTTTTCACTACACAATGGAGGGATTGAAAAGATTACATCAGATGCACCTTAGTTCTCCAAGTGACATCTTTGCCTTTTCAAACTTCTAAGGGGTCTTTTGCAGCAAATTTGAGGATTCCATTTACGTCCCACATCCTTCATGGACTCCAGTGACGAGTTTCTGTTGGATTTCTTTATGTATTTGAGCTACCTCTGTGTGTGTACTGCGTTAGAATAGTAAACACTAGTAAGATCTGGCTGGTGCTTGTCTTGAAGAAGCTGTTTAGAGCTAAACTATGCAAATCAACATGGTGGCCATTAGACACATGAGAAAACTTAAATTTAAACTTGTTAAAATTCAATAAAAAATCCAGGTCCTTAGATGCATTTCAAATGCTCAGTAGCCACATGTCGCTCATGGGCACTGTATTGAGATGTACAGAAAAAGAGTATTTCCTTTCTTGCATAAAGTTTTATTGGGCAGTTTACTGGTCAGAAGAAAATGGATTGCTACACAATTCTGATAAATGTGGTATTTTTTACAACTTACTTTGGCATTTAATCATATGTGACTGTGAGGTTTTATTTAACTAATTTGCGTACTCTCCTCACTGGTAGAAAACTCCTTGAGGCCAGAGAACCATGTGTTCCATCATGTGCCCCAGCATGCTTTAGTATCAAGCACTAGCTCATCAAAAGCATTCAGTGAATATATATGAAATTTAATTTTCCACTTGCCATGGAAAAAATTTTCATAGATGGGTTCTCAGGATTAGCTCAGAATTTTATATCCTGTAGGGACCAGTGCCCTGGGGAATGCCATGAATTTAGCCCTGACTAGCAGTAACATCTGTTCCAGATACTTTCCTTCACTGCCTGGGTGGCATGCTGACAGAGGTAGGCTTTAGCTGCATGCTGGAATCACTTGGGAGAGTTTTTAAAAATACGATGCCTATTCCCATAAATGCTGACTTAATTGTTGTATGTGTGGCCTGGGCATTGAGATTTTTAACCGCCCCCCTCCCACTCCCCTAGGTGATTCTAATGTGCAGCCGAGGTTCAGATCCTCTGGTAGAAGAGACCAGATACCCCATCCTTGTCTTCAGTTCTGCTCATTTACAACTGTAAATCAGTGTTACCTGCACTTGGAAATGTTTCTTCATCCCACTCAGCGATGCTCTCCCCTTTGCTCCTCTTTCCTTGTAGTTTCTTACCTCAGTGATCGCCATGGTCCTTCTGACGCTGATGACTGTCACACTGGATCCTCCTCAGAAACTGCCAGACTTATTTTCTCTATTGGTATGCTTTGTATCCTGCATGCATTTTCTGTTTTTTTGGGTATACTTTAATATTATAATCATGTGGAATTCCAGAAATGCAAGGAATCAGAAGAAACTCAATTAACTGTATTCCCAAGAAATGTGAAAATGTGGATACGTGCTAGAAGGTTTTGTGAACTTTTTAGGTCTACGTGAAATATCATTTTGAGAATCATAGATTTATAATCATGGAATGACGAAAAGTCATTGTTGTCTACACAGAATAAATGTATATGAAGACAAAGCCCAAGGGAACCTTTTGTGTTCTAATGCTTGTATAGACAGAGTATTGTTTTATTAATACTTACAGCTATTAATGTGGCAAAATACAGTAAAAAGTCTTTAATCTTAGTGTTTACTTAGAAGGTGTACTTATGAATTGTAAGGTCTTAAAAATTTTGTAGATACAATGAGCATCACAGGAGAATTTAGACCTTTCGTTTTAAAGGAAATCACTAATTTTGGCATCCAAATTTAAGTTTTCCTTATATTTTAGAATGTAAGTAATATGTACTTAAGGACAGGCTCAACTGGTTTCATTGTTTTAAACATTATCTCAGGGAATTAAATTGAGATATTCTTTTATGTTATGAAAGGCAATTTAAGCTGCATGAAGTTTGAACATGCCTTATTATACATACTTGATTTTTTTTTTTATAACAAGGCAGCTAGATTAAACTGTCTTTTTAAGGATGTTGAAGTGCAATTAAAAGCATTTTTCTGAATTTAAGTCAAGATAGTTTGAATAAAATCTTTTAAGTTACTCACAATCACTAGTTCTGAATGTGAAGGATCACTCTGTTTATATTCAATTGCCTTAAACAGGATTCTTTCTGTCCTCTTTTGGTACGACATGGGTACTGAGGCTCGCCACTGCCAAAACCACTGATTCACACCAGGCTTTATGCTAACCTGAGCCTGCTGATATGGTGTCACTCTATATTAGCAGAGACCCATTTTTTCTATCTATTCTATTGGGATGAATAATGCATTATATCCATGTAGGAGCTTCTCATTCAAATAAAAATGTGTTTTCCTTTGCCTCTGTGATAAAAACAAAATCTTCATGTGTAATGAATATATTCCTTTCAACATATAGTCATTAAAACATGCTAATTGGGAGTGTACTTTAAAGCAATGCAAATCAAAAATATACACGTAAAGCAAATTTTGTTCTAGACATGGACAGCCACAGGCTCGTGCAAGAAGGTTTGTGTGTCTAAGTAGATGAGCCTGATGAAAGAAATGGGCTTAGACAAAGCCAGAATCAAGAAGTATTTCTTTCTCAAAGCAAATGTGCATGAAGACTGAAAGGGCAGCTCAGCACAGCACAGGAAAGCAGCCTTGAATCGCTGCCGCCTCAGCAGGAACATTGCCGTCCATGGCCACCATCTGTAATCACTGTGCCCAATTGTCAGCATTTTGGCTGGCTGGGATAGCCTTATATTTTGCAATAGCATGCTTGCATTTAACACAGGAGGTTGATAAAAATAAATTGTCCAGACGATTTAATTGAATTGAGTACTTCTCTGGAGAATTGATAGAATTATCTAAGTCAAGTCTCTGTCTCCTATTTATTACAAGCTTTGACCTTTGAGGGGTAAATTTCCAAAATACCAAAAATATCCAGTGATTAATTAACATTACAGAAATGGGCCAAACATTTCATCCAGCCAAACTGTGAATCATAAGGATGTTTTAAGGTAAGCATATTTAGGCTTTGCAAAAAATATTAAATATAGATTTCTTTCTTCACTAATATACCTGTCAAAAAAGTTCCTTTTAGAGGGAGGAACTGGTTCTGAGAAATGGTTTCCTTCGTTTTCCATTGCCAAAAACTTTGTTTCTTACAATGAAGAAAAGAGAGTGTATGTTCATGTATCAAATATGAGGCATAGAGAAGTCATTTTCCTTTGAGACTCTAGGAAGGGGAGAAAAATACCCGATGTAGCATTCTGTCCAAACGATAAACCACAACTGAGTGAGTGAAACATTTACAAAAGCCACAGGAGTCAAAGGAGCCTCTCTGTTCACTGGAAAGAGAGTAAGAAATGGATAGGACAGAACTAAATAATAGTTGGAAGAACACAGTGATTTCAAGTCTCAATTGGTCTCTTTTCTGTTATGTTCATTGCAACATCAGGGCCAAGTGTTTTCCCCCGCCCCCCACCCCCATATAAACATTAGTTTTGTGTGTGGATCTTTCTGCTTTGTCCTTCATGTGGCCTCCAAGGGTGATAAAGCGAGAGTCATCTGATCTACAATGAAGAGAACTGGGAAATGATTCTTAGTAGACCCAGCTGTTCTGAAAGGCAGAAGCTTAGTATATCAAGAGGTCAAACATACAGTAACTTATTTAATAGCTTTAAGCACATACCTACATATCTTGGATTACATAGGAGACCAATGTACTTCTTAACCCTTTATGTCCTGACTAATGCAGGTTGCTTTCTATGTTTTGGCTGACATCCTGAGGTTAGCTTTTAATGCTAGACCAAACCTTTTGGATAACATAAGGACTGTATCATAAAGTAGTCTTAATATGGAGCAGTCAGATTTTCTGTAAAAAGCCTTCGTTACATGGTGCATAGAACCATTAATGAAGGCAATTTGGCTCAATAGGTTCAGTTCGGTGCAATACCGCTGTCACTAATGTTTCATGCTCTTGTCTTTTTTAAAATCTAGTCTTCATTTTAAAACGTGGATCTGACATTTTAGCTAAATGGCAAATTGTTTTCATTTTAACTTTTTTAAAGTTTTGTTTCACATTTTCCATGTTATGCTATAGTAAATGACATGGCAGTATATACTAGTTTTATAAAAAATAAGGGCAAGTTCTCAGTGAATAGTGTATTTCCAAGAAATGTATATAACTTCTTCCCAGAACTATGTTATCAAGATAATATATTCTATGATTAACAGATTGTCTCCATCCCAAGCTTCATTTTATAAATGACAGCACACACACATGATATAATCTACCACCATAGAAAAACAAATTTATGTTAATGGTTTGAAATAAAATTAGGAGTGACTCCCATACTGTACCATAAGAAAGTTTTTCTTTAAATTCAGTAGCATCTGTAAAAAGTTTAGTTTAAAATTAACTTCCTCTTTAAATGTTTGCTACTGAAAAATTCATGCGAATAGTGTATTAAAAGTATGAAATTTTAAAACTTTGTAAACATTTTTGTTTAGAAGTCTAAGAAAAATTAGAATAAAAATTCATTCCCAAGATAGTGGTGCACAAGAAACTGGATAAGCAAAAATTTTTTAAAAGAGTCTGTAATGTACACACTAAAGTTATGGGAAGGAAAATGCATGTATACCTACAAATACATAAAGGATATTTACCTTTGCTGCAAACATATCTATGAATGTGGTGGTGTATATAGGGGCCAAATGTTGAAAATTTTCTTAGGCATTACCAAACACCTTGAGGGTAAGGAGTTGCTGGCCTGGGGGTTCAGGACCATGGTCTCGGGGAACTTCATGGTCTACTGGCATAACATAGTTCATAAAGACAATGCTCTACATCCTACTTCTGTGAGTAGTGACTGGGATCTTAAAAGCTCATGAGCAGTTATCAAAAAGGGCAACTATTGGTTGCCCCCTGTGTGGAGGAAAGAAGAGTAATGAAAACTAAAGATACTTGGAATCAGTTTGTCCAGTGGACTAATGGATTACATGAACATCAATCAGTCTTCCTTACCCTGAGACCAGTTGATGGTGCCTGGCTAACACTATCAACTATTCTGATAGGGATCACATTAGAAGGTTCCAGATAGAGTGGGGGAAAATGCAGAACAAAACTTAGAATTATTTAAAAAAAAAAAACAAAACTGGGCTTATTGGTCAGAAAGACTGGAGGAATCAGAGACTATGGCCCTTGGTCGCCCTTTACGGGCTGGAAAGGAAATCAACCTCACGGCCTAGTTTTCAGCCAACTGGTAGATAGGTATATAGTGGGGACAACAACATTAGTAAGGTATGTTCACCATGGAATGGACAACCATTCAAGATCAAAAGGGTAATATTTACCTAAGGACAAAGTTCAGAAGGGTTGGGAAGGGAGGGTAGAACCGTAACAAGGACCTCAGGGAAGAAGTGGGATAACTGATAATTCATGGAGAGAACTGAACAAATGAAATGACGTGTATGATTTGTTGCACATAAAACTGATGATCTGCTCTGTAAACCTTCACTCAATTCACAATATAAAGTAAAACAAAAAAGAACCTAAATTAACTAGTAGCAAAAGCTTTAAATGGAGAACCGGACACTGAATTCCACAATCTGAGTTTCAGAAAAATACACAGCTCTATCAAAGACATCATTTTCATAAATGCTTTATTATAAAGTGGATCCACAGTGCTAAATGTATATATAAAAAAATGTACACAATACAGAATATAAATCAAGATCTTCTGTACGTGTTGACTTACATTAAAGGGTCAAAAAGAAATGTATTATTTACATTGAGATTATCTATTGGTGTGTGTAGAAAGTTTAAATTAGCTGCAAGAAATTTTATCTAGACATGCACCTGCCTAGTGCTATGATCTGGTATTTACTGGGCAGATTAATTACAAACATTTCTTCTGTTCCTTTAAATATGACCAGGCAGATGCAGAAGTTGGTGTTCAGAGTGAGTGCATTTCTTCTAAATGCCTGTGGGATATAAAAAATAATTAGTAAGTCATGAAGAGTTAAGTTCCAAATTAACATGCATCCAAAATCCGACCGAAAAAAAATGATGTAAACACCATTGGGTTTATGTGACCTGGGAACTAGTTACATACTAGTAACCTTCTCTCATTCACTTATTTTTGAACCTTCTCTGCAAGATTCACCTTTACAGATTTACATGGTGTCTCTGATACCACACTCTCCACCTGATGTGAAAAATGGATCTTGACGGAGCTACTTCTGCGTTTTAATACTCCAACATGTCCTACTGAAAATACCCAATCTCCACGCCTTATGTCTATAAGCCTAAAGGGTCTTTCAGCAGGTGTTTCCTCTGACAGCTGCCAAAAAAAAAAAATAAAGACAGCATTTACCACTAGAGATTCCTATTCAGAATGTGTTCCTCTGAGGACTCCTAGTGGTGGTAAAGGATCTTGGCTATTTGGCCAGGGGACCCGACCCATTGTCATCCAGTGGATTCTGACTCATAGTGATCCTACAGGAAAGAGAATCCTGGTGTGGCGCTGTAGGGTACATGACAGACTATTAATTATAAGATTGCAGGTTCAAACCCACCAGCTATTATACAGTGTCACTGAGTCGGAACTGACTCAATGGCACTTAGTGGCAACAACAGTCGGTACAGAAGGAGATTTTGCTTCGTGTCTCTCCTGTGGAGTGGCTGGTGGGTTTGAACCACTGACCTTTTGGTTCGCAGCTGAGCACTGTATCTACTATATTAGGATCCTAATAAGAAAGCAGCCACTGACAACTGATGGCATACATTCCACTAGGGCATGTGGACCACTAACTTCCAAGATACTCCTTTTCTTTCGTCCAACAGCAGCTTTGAAGAATAGTGCCGATGGGTCCCTCTTTCCCTATTCATGGGACTTCACATATTTTTCTTCCTGTCCTAGAAGAACAGGTGCTAACTTGACAACCAACTTCTGGTTTAATCTGAAATGCATTCTGTTAAAATTTTAGCCTTCTAGGGTTCACTTAAAGAGTCCAGGTGTGGCACTGTGGGTAATGTGCTGAACTGCAAAGTCATTTGAACCACAAAGTTGGCAGTTCAAGCTCACAAGCCACTCTTCAGAAACCCTATACAGGGTCACTACGTGTTAGAACCAATTCAATGGCACCTCACAACAAGGGTTCACTTAATGAGCCTTGGTGGTACACTGGTTAAACACTTGGCTGAGAACCGAAACCTTAGCAGTTTGAACCCAACAGCCTCTCAGTGGTAGAAAAGACTTGCAGATACATCTCTCCCATAAAGACTACAACCTAGCAACTAGGAAGTAACCTACGGGGGCAGTTTTGTTCTGTCCTCTAGGGCTGTTATAATTGGAAATGACTTGACACACAACAGGGTTCACTTACTATCCTTCTAAATTACTGATAAGGAAAGACTAAGTTATTAATAGTTACTATGGGGCAGCTATTTTGTATAATCTCATCAGGCCAATATCAGTTCCATTTTATAATCAAGGCTTAAGGGTACCAAGTGCCTTCTTTAAGGTCACACAGCTAAAGGGTAAGACATCTAATTTCAAATCCCATTCTCTTTTACAGTGCAGGCCAAAGGACTCTGAGGTCAAATCCAGGGTTGAGGAAAAAAAAAAGAACCCAAACTTGGTCACTGTGATGTATGTCACAGCATAAAGGTAGGGAGTAGCAACATGGTTGTTGCTGCCATGCTGCCTTTTGAGAAGAACAATCCTCCCCAAACAGATGGAAAGACAATTTATATATAGTTGTAGAGTTCCTGTGCAGTTTTTAACAGAATTCATCCTTTGTACAGTATTCTAAGACATGCTTTGGGATTGTTACTTACCTACTCATCTTTGCCATCCTACCTCTGCCTAATGAACATGCTGTGGTCCTCATCTACCTTTGCATCAGCCTGTGTCTCCGCTTTTTTGTCCTAGCATGTTATACACAGTCTATCAAAACCGGCCATATTGAAAATTCTAGCTTTCGCAGAAAAGTATAAAGCTCCGGTTAAGGATGGTTCTCTCAGAGATTTCTTGTTGTGAAGTGCCACCGAGTCAGTTGCAACCCATAGCAACCTTGTATAGTGTTTCCAAGGAGCAGCTGGTGAGTTTGAACCATGGACCTTGCAGTTCAAACGGCTTTGCAGTCTGCTGAATTAACCCACAGCGCCACACCAGGACTCCTTTTCAGAGATTATGTAGATTTAAATAATTAGAAATTATTTTAAAATAATAAATTCTAAAATAATTATTTAATCACCCCAACTTAGGGTTGTCTGCGGTGAAGTCCTCTAATACGACTTTGCTTTCCTTTGGTACTCAGCGTCATTTTCATACTTCTCACTCCAAAGCAGATGGCCCTTCTGTACAGTTCTCTCATCACCTCAAGGAAGAGTCACAGGTTTGGTCCAAGTTCTGGACACCCATTGGTCCACATTTCTTTGCAATATTACAGGCCACAACACTCTTTTCCTACATGTAGTTTCCTTACACTAGCCATTGGCAAGTCCAATAGGCCTCATGTCTAATCCCAGGTGGTAAGGAAACAAGCTCATTCCTTCTCTTTGCAGGCATGTAACGGAGGTCTGTGGTCTTCACACCTTTATGGGTTTGGGGTCTGTCTGTTTCAAAGATCTAGCTTAATCCTCAGGTTCAAGAGAGCACACAAGGTTAAAGATTGAAGTTCATGATGGGAGAGAGAAGGTCCCATTTCTGCCTTAGGCAGATTCTACATTAGTCACCTCAACATTTACAAGAGATCTTGTCATACTGAAGGTTATCAATTCCTCCAATAATTACTAATAAAGGTGATCTTTTCATCCTCATTGGATTCATGATTTTTATACTCACTATTGGCCAGAATCAGGGTAGGAACTCGCATCACTAATCACAGTCTGCCTTATAGTATTATTTCATGTCTACAAGTCATGTAATATAAATCTTGTGTCCTCAGTGTGGCTGCTGCTGTTGTTAATGCTGTAGAGTTGATTCCAACTTACAGTGACCCTATCCACAGCAGAACGAAACACTGCCTGGTCCTGCGCCATCCTTACAGTCATTGCTGGGTTTGAGCCACTGTCTGTTCATCTTGTTGACGGTCGTCTTTTTGGCTAATCCTCTACTTAACCAAGCATGATGTACAGGGACCGGTCCCACCTGATGACATGTCCAAAGTATGTGAGATGATGTTTCAGCAAGATCATTAGATGTCAAAAGGTTGCATTATGCATAGTCCTTGGTTCATAGAAGTTTCATACTTTTGATAACCAAGTTATTTATCCAGAGTTTTGCTACCCTGTTAACATTAGCCAAACTCATGCATTTCCTTTTTCTTCCTCCTGATGGTCTTTGCATCAGAAGGATGTGGCTTCTGTGTTGATGGTAACTTTACACTCTTATTCTAACATTGTTTCTCACAAGCTTCACTTTTTAAAGGCTCTAGGAATGAATCGGAATCCTGGCATGATAATGCAGGATAATGCACTGGACTGCAAGATCAGCTTCAATCGCAAGGTAGGCAGTTCAAATGCACCAGCTGCTCCTCAGAAACCCTGTACGGGATCGCTATGAGTCAGAACAGACTCGAAAACACTTTACAACAACAGGAATGAATCTGTATGCACTGGTTCCCCCACTGAACACTGTACATCAGGAGGAAGAGTCACTGATCTAGCAGACATGGCAGAAGCTGGTGTACAGACAGGGCAGTTGGCCCCAGTGCTACCAGTTCTATGTCTTTCTCAGGTTTCTAGGGTAGAGGACACGATCAGAGAGTGTAAGAGCCTCCCTTATTATATCTAGTGGGCAGCTCTGATGAATGTAAACAAGCAGCGCAATGAGGGGTTGAGGGACCTGGGAAGCTAGTAGAAGGTGGGTTATAAGCAGTTTTCAAGTGACGGGTAACATTTTGAAAATTGACTATGGGAAGAAAAGCATACCAGACAAAGGAGATATGAGAAAAGCAAGCAAGTAGAAAAGGCAGTCAGGAATGACCAAGGCACAGCAAGGAGAAAGTCGAAAGGTAGGCTGAAGTCAGATCAGGGCGAGTACTGACTTCCAGACAAACGGATTTTATTGTAAATACGACGGAGTGATACCTTCTAAAGCATAGCTCTGTCCACAACTTTGTCTGTATTGGGCAGATCTGCAGAAGACCTCTTTAATGTCACTTTGAAGACTAAGGTGTGCCTGACCAGAGCCAAAGTATTCTCATTCCCTTTATATGCATATGACAGCTCGATAATAAATAGGGAAGACCAGAGAAGAATGGATGCTTTTGAATTATAGTGTTAGAGATAAATATTGATATTGCCAGAAAAAAATGAACAAATCTGTTTTGGAAGATGTATAGCCTGACTGCTCCTTAGAAGAGATACTGGTGAGACTTTGTCTCAGATACTTTGCACATTTTCTCAGAAGGGACCAGTCCCTGGATAAAGACATGCTAGGTAAAGTGGAAGGACACTGAGATATAGGAATACCCTCTGTGAGCTAGACTGATACAACAACAATGGGTTCAAATATAACAGTAATTGTGAAGCCCATGGAAGACCGGGCAGTGGGCTATTGTACACTGGGGAGTCAGAACCAACTGGATGGAACCTCACAACAACATCACAGTTCCAGGAAAGAGAGCAAAGGACCCAGAACCAGGTTACAGTGGGATGAAGATAATCTGGTGAGGCATATGCAGGAATAAACCAGCTGACTACCGTGTAATGGCTAAAAGCATGAACTCTGGCACCAGACTACTCAGGTTAGTTAGTATTCAGCCTTTCTGGGGCAAGGTGTTTAACCACTGTGTGCCTCAGTTTGTGTTTCCCACGTAAACTGGTGGGAAGATTAACTGGAATATCTATACGAAATGCTTAAAACAGTGCCTAGGACATAGAACTCCCAAAAAACACACTGACTGCTAGCTTATGAGTGCATTTCAACTCACAGAGACCCTGGATAGATACGGTCGCCCAGGCTGTACATTTT